GGGTAATGCTTATAGAATTGTGGTACATCCATCCATAAAATACTATGAACCACTAAAAGAGAATGAGGACAGTTCTAGGAACTAATCTAGGAAGATGTTTTTTGATTCAGTTTTTTGTTTGTTTGTTTGCTTATTTGTTTGTTTGAGATAAGGTCTTGCCAAGTCACCCACGCTTGTCTGGAACTGACAATGTAGTCCACTTTGTCCTTGAACTCATGGCCTTGGCCTCCCGTGCTGGAATTATAGGTTTCTTAAGTGCATTTTTTAGTTAAAAAAAAGTGAGTTTCAAAACAGTACACACCATATGCTGTGTTGTGTATAAAATGAAGAAAATAAGAATTGTAGGTGTTAGCCAGGTGTGGTGGCACAAGCCTGGAATCCCAGCATTTGGGAGGCTGAGACAGGAAGATTACCAAGTTTAAGTATAGCCTGGACTACATAGTGAGTTTGAAGCTCACCTGGGCTATATATTAGGACCCTGTCTCAAACGAAAAAGAATTATAGATGTGTTTGATTATATTCTCATTATAAAACAATTGCGAGGCACTGGTGGCTCACACCTGTATTCCTAGCTACTCAGAAGGCAGAGATCAAGAGGACTACCTGGAGCCAACCCAGGCAAATAGTTCATAAGACCCTATCTCGAACAAAACCCATCACAAAAATGGGCTGGTAGAGTGGCTCAAGGTGAAGGCCTGAGTTCAAATCCCAGCACTGCAAAAAAAATGCCAAGAAATATGGATGGAGTAGGACAAGTGAGTGGGGGATAGAAGACACAAGCAGACTTTTTGTGTATCTTGTCACTGTTTGACTGTCAGACCACATGAACTTCCATACATTCAAATCACTTAACTTTTAAAAGAAGACGAAAAGTGAGCACCCATTTCTTTCTCTCTTGAAAGGACACATTAGGGCGTGAGTGACAACCAACTCTCCATTCCCAATGGCTTAACTTATTCATGTTTACTTCTTGGCCACCTTGAGAAGAACAGGGGTGACTGCTTATCTGTCCATCAGAAACCCCAGAGTACAGGCAGCCGATATCAACATAATTACTGTATCTGTCAGGGTTGTTAAGGCCTCTGCCTGGAAATGCCATCCTGAGGTTACTGACCCTCATATTTCATTGGCCAGAGGAAGTCACTTAACCCTGACTCCCTGCAAGGGGTGTGGAAAGTGCCCAGGAAGGGGAGAACTGCAATCACTTGGCAAAGGGCAAAAGGCGTTATAGGAGTTGTGTCACCAAGGTCCTCTCAAAGCCCCCTCTGAACATGGGGTCACATTCATCCTGCTCTGAAGATACACAGAGAACACCTCATGATGTTCAGATTCAGCTGGTCTATTTCTAGCTCCTGATGGAAACATTCCCCACACTGTAAAGCCTACTTTTGCATCAGACCAGCCATCTGTGGGAGGACACAGGGACAGCTGCCAACTTGATTGTATTTGTACTGATATGTCTTAAAAGCTTTGCATGCATTCTGGCTGCCCATTCATGGCTGTAGGACATTGAATACAGTATGAATGGGTAATCTGTAAATGGGGGTGATAATAAACATTACCTTGTAGGGTTGTTAGGTGAAGGTTAAGTGTGTGTGTGTGTGTGTGTGTGTGTGTGTGTGTATAGAAATGAGAGAGAGAGAGAGAGAGAGAGAGAGAGAAAGAGAGATAGTACCCAGAAAGTCAGAAGTCCATCTTTAGCTTTTGTTTTTATTCCCTCAATTTTTTGTAAATTTATTCATCACCAAATATCCTGTGTTGTTTCCTTCATTGGGAGATCCTGGTAGTGATATGTTGAGGTCTCTCCATCTGTTATATCTCTGTCTCCCTGTCTATATGTCTGTCTCTCTCTCTCTTGCCCTGGGATTTGAACTCAGGGCTTTGCCCTTGCTAAGCAGGTATTCTATCACTTGTGCCTAGATTCCATACCTCAATTTTTTTTCTTGAGGATAGAGTGGAGTATGGTATCACTCTGACCAAGTGAAGAAGGAAGGATGTACTCACACATAGGCAGAGGTGTAGGTGGACAGCACTGAGAGCTGAGGTTCCCCATGCTAGCATTTATAGGATTGGCTATCTCTGGTAGATGCATTCCTCTGCTACCACCTTGTGCCCAGAGATGCCACCACATTCCCTGAGGTCCTTAAAGACTGCTTTGCGTCTCAATCTCCCCATTCAAAAAATGGGGGAGTGATAATTTTACAGTGTCTGTTTTTCTTTGTGCTGCCCAGCTGAAACCAGTGCTGACTGTCCCATTGCTCATGGAGACTTGGCCAGCCTGCCTTTGTCCCTTTCTCTCCTCAAGGCCTCACATGGTATCAGGCACTCAGTGAGTGCCCAGTAAATGTTTGTTTGATGAACACGTGTTCATCAGTCATGTGCAAGAGATGCTTATATGCCCTTCTCTAGGGAGAAAACCCAAGATTAGAAATGAGTGTTTTCTTTAAGAGTGGAAGTCAGCTTCTAATTGGCTAAGTTGGCTAGTTTTGGGAAAATCTTAAGACACATACATTTTTCTGTTTACTTTTCTCTCTCTTTTTTCTTTTTTTTTTTTCTAGTACTGAAGTTTGAACTCTGGGCTTTGCACTTGTTAGGCAGGTGCCATGTCTCCACTTGAACCATGTCTAAAAGGGTTAGCCCTTTTTGCTCTGGTTATTTTGGAGATAAGATCTCACTTTCTGCCCAGGCCAGCCTGGACTGTGATCCTCCTATTTTATGCTTCCCACCCTTGCTGGGATGACAGGCACACACCATGACAACCAGCTTTTTCCCATTAAGATGGAGTCTCACTGACTTTTTTTTGCCTGGGCTGGCTTGGAACCTTGATTCTCCCAGTCTTAGCCTCCCAAGTAGCTAGGATCACAGGAATGAGCCACTGGTGCCTGGCTTATCTACTTTTCTCTTAGTCCTGACTTCCACAGACAAATGGATATGAACTTACCTAATTCTATAGAATGTATAGTTTTTAAAACCCATGTGGCTTTTGTATTTTAAGTTAGTTCCTAGATCAACATTGTCCAATAGAACTTTCTGTTACAGATCGTGTTGACCAGAAGACTAGCAGGACAGCCACTAGCCCATGTCACTGTTAAGCACTGGAAATATGGCTCATATGACTAAGGAACTGGATTTTTATATTTTATATATCTTAAATTTTTAATTGAAATATAAACAGATACTTGCAGCCAGTGATTACCATATAGAGTAGGTCTAGATTAAACATCTGTTGAGTAAATTAAATAATAGTATAAAAATCAGTGATGGTTGAAAAGAATTGTAGGGGTGTTACAACTCATACAATGATAACTTACTAGTTTTTTTCATAAAATACATTGGATTTCGTTTTTCTTTTTCAGTGGAACTGGGAATTGAACTCAGGGCCTGGCACTTGCTAGGCAGGCTTTCTGCCACTTGAGCCACATTTCCAGCTTCTAGTCTGCTTTTTCTAATAGGGTCTCTTTTTTTCTTCTTAACATTTTTATTAGCATATCTTGTGATATTTCCACAAATACTTACAATGTACCTGTGTTAGGTTCATCCCCACCATTATTCTCTCTCACCCCTTTCCCCCTACTTACAATGACTTTGGCAGTTTTAATATTCTCTCTTCATACATGTATATAAAGTACATCAACCATATTCACTCTTCTTTGCCTTCTCTCTTCACCCTTCTTCTCTTACCAGTACACTCCTCCTGCTAATGGGAACTGTTTGACATTCTGTCCTTCATTATTTAAGTGTCTGTTCATTGTTCAAAGGGGTTTCCCCTCAGATACGATCTTGCACTTTTTCCTGGCTTTTCTTCAAATCATCATCCTCCTATCAATCACAGATTACACCCATACACCACCACACCTGGTGAATCTCAGTGCTTTTGGGATGATGAATATATGATTTCAGGGTTTGGAAAGCAGTTTCCTTCCTCTGTTTGTATTCTACCACACCTTTTATTTGACAGATGTTTTTGGAATCTGAGCACAATGCAGTGCTTTTTAAATTGTTCTCCAGGATCAGGTTGGATTATGGCAGAGTGCTTTGTTGAGAGATTTGTGATTAAACCAGATCCAAATCCTGTTTCCATGGGTGAGCTCTTTCAGAGACTGGTTGAGGGAGCCCTTGCGCTGGCCCAGTTCCTTTAGGGGGAGGAGGTCTTTGAGCAGAGAGGATCATTTTGTGGTTAGTTAACTCTTGGAGAGCATTTACCACTTGTTGAGTGGGTAACCATGGTAATGTTATTTGTGCCCACATTGTTGTAGATGCACTAATGCATTTCATCTTTCCAATCACATGGACTCCTAGGATCATCACTCTACAAGTGATACTGAGGTTAGGGAAGCCACTCAGCCAGGAAGTGGGTCTCCAGGATCACACACCAGGCAGTGGTCCTCAGAGGCTTGAGTGGTCCTTGGAGGTTAAGGAGGAAACTGTGGCATAGAGTGATAAAATCTAGCGGTTAGGAAGTGTTGGGGACGGGACTTCAATCTGGATGAACTGCTTCTGCGATATGGTCTTTACCATAAGACCAGTGATCTTCAAACTTGAGCCATGGGAACTCCTGGGGACTTACCAAAGTACAATCCAGATCCCACCCCCACATTTTCAGTCCCAGCAGGACTGGGGTGAATCCAAAGAATGTGCGTGTTTCTCAATAGCTGCTGGTGGTGTTAGTCCAAGGACCAGCTTGGAACCACTGCCCTAGACTGCTGGTGGTTTCCCAGCAGAGGAAACTGCGACTCATTGAGGCTAAGTGTTGTGTGTGCAAGTAGCACACTGTTGTAAGGTTGTGGTGACGGGATCTCAAACCCAGGCAACTGGGCTTCAGAGTCTGAGATTTTAACTATTGCCCTGTCCTGCCTCCCACCGATCAAAAGAATAAATGCACACAAATGAATGAATGGATTCTCTTTTCCCCAGAGGAAGACACATAGGTGAAGGAACTAAGCCCGGTGACTTGTGGCATTCCCTGATCTCTTTCTTTGCCTTTCTGCCCGCACCCGCAGGTGAAGCTGGTGTTCGTAGAGGACCAAGCGATGGTAGAGACTGTGTTTTTCCTGACGTCTCGCACCAGGGCACTGCTGAGGCGCTTCCCGCGCATACTCCTGGTGGACCGGCTGCCGGGGTTGCAGGGCGCACTGGACCTGCTGACCGTGCTGTGCGTGGATAGCTCGGGCCGCGCGCGCCAGGCTGCCTGCTGTGTGTCGCGCCCTGGCACGCCGAGCTTACTGCGGTTCGTGCTGGTCTCGCTGCTGCAGAGCGCGCCCGATGTCAAGGGCCGCGTGCGCTGCCTCACCGCCGGACCCGAAGTGGCCGCGCAGCTGCGGGCGGTGCGCCAGCTGCTGCCCTGCGCCCGCGTGCAAATCTGCCGCGCTCAGGGCCTGGAGACGCTGTTCAGCAAAGCTCAGGAGCTGGGTGGCGCCAGCCATGAGGACCCGGGACTTTGGCCGCTCCTGTGCCGTCTGGCCGGCGCGTCCTCCTATGCTACCTATATCGAGGCTCTGGCTGAGCTGCGTTCCCAGGCCCCATCCGCCTTCGTCAAGTACTTTGAGCACAACTGGGCGCCCCGCCATGACATGTGGGTGCGTTTCCGAGCTTATGAAGCATCCCGAGACCTGGACGCTTGTGCCCTGGTGCGTGGCTACCGCAGGCGACTGCTGCGTCGCCTCAGCCCCTCGCACAGCGTGGCGCAGTGCCTTCGTGATCTGGTGGCCATGCAGTGGGCGGATGCAGCTGGGGAGGCAACCTCTGAGGGTGCTGATGGTGATGGGATGTCTCAGAACAGTGAGCTGAGAAGTGGAGTCCAGGGGAAGGAGAAGATAAGGGGTGTGGACATCAGCGACCAGGGAAGGCCTCAGCTAGAAAGCGAGAAAGGGAGGGGATTGGAGACAAGAGATTGGCGAGGAGTCCAGCTGGAGAACCAGGTGAGGGGGCTGGAACGGTGTATCTGGAAAGCGGCCCAGGTGGAGAAAGAGCAATTGCGAGGGCCAGAGATCAGAGACGGGAGGGGACGCCAGTTGGAGGATGGAAAGATTGGGGTGCTGGAAACCACAGACCGCAGGGGAACCCAGTTTGAGTCTGAGAAGACCAGGAGTCTGGAAGGAAGCCCCTGGAGGGGTGTGCAGTTGCAAGAGGAAAGAGCAAGTGAATTAAAACCTCCAGACTGTATGGAAACAGAGAAGGGCCTGGATGTCAGAAAGTGGAGGGGGACCCATTTGGAGAAGCCCTTAGAGGTGGTCCCTGAGAACAGAGGCCAACGGGGGCCCCAGTGGGGAAATGAGGGGCAGAGAGGGACAAAGTTTGTAGAGAAGAAAGGAGGGAGCTTGGGGATCAAAAGGAGTCGAGGCCTGGAGGACATTGTTGTAGTCCAGTTGGGGGACACAAAGGTTGCAAGTACAGCAAATGGAGATGGAGGAGGAACTCGGTCTTTGGTCCCCAAGAACAGAGCAGGACAAGCAATGGAATGGGCAGACAAAGGAGCAAGGTGTCAGCGGCTGGGAAATGGAGTGCTGTGTGCCACCCGCATGGGGACAGTGTTAGAAGGCAATCCAGAATGTGCAGTGACAAGGTGTGAGCCCCTAGCTGTAGGGGAGGCCCTGCAGGAAGGAGGTGAAGCAGAAGGTCCAAGGGACCCAAAGAGGGTTTTCCACCCCTCTGGAGAAGAGGAGGTGGACTGGGAGCCGCTGGCCAAATTCCGAGCAGCCTGTGGGCCAGAACTGGCAGATCTGGTGGCGGAGGAGTTGACCTTTGCCAGGCAGCATGGGACCCAGGGTTTCCACTGGACTGGAGCTGGCTTTGCTCTCAAGGATGGCACCTCAGACTTCTTTATGGATGGGGCCCTGACACACTGCAGCTGTTCAATCCATGCTGCTCGCCGTCTGCCCTGTCGGCACCTCTTTGCAGCACGCCTCCTCACGGGTGCAGCCTTGTTCCACATGGACCTGCTCAGGGATTGCTGGGGGAGAGCCCAAGAACCATGACTTTCCACATCCCTGCCTGCCACCCTCCAATCAGAGGGCAGGAGGGTATTTTTTTGATCCCAAAGATAACAGGGCTGAGGCCAATGGGGGCCACCTAATCCCTCTGGTCTCCTTCCAGGTCGTCAGGGACTTCATCTCTCAGCAGTTTGTCTCTCTGCACCCAAGGGGAAGCTGACCATGGTCTCTAAGGTCCTAGAGCCAAAGCTGTAGAAACTGCTGATGATCAGGGTTCATTTAGAGAGCTTCCCCAAGGAGAAGAAATGTGTGATGAGAGGTGTAGACAGGGTCCAGCCAAAGCAGAAACTAGGAAACAGGCAGGGCTGGAAACAAGACAAGGGGAGACAGATTGGTAGTCAGAAAAGACATCAGGAATGGGGGGAGGGGTACTAGCAGGAGTGGGCTGATCAGCCTAGGGAGTATAAGGGTAAAAGAAGAGAAAAAGGGTTGAATAAGAAGACAGGTGAAGGAAAGGAAAGGGGGAAAAGATAGAAGGGGAGAAGAGAGGTCAGGAGCAGAGGCAGAAATGGAGAAGAAATGAAACACAGTAGAATGGGGAAGGGAAGAAGGAGACAAGGGAATTTTAAAAGGTGATAGAAGATGGGCAGAGAAGAAATAAGAGAGAAGTGACTTTGGTATTTCTCCAAGAGCTGGGGATTGGCCTCCCTTCCCAGTTCTGGGAGTTATTCCTGGAAGTTTGAGAGAGGGCACTGGGAATCTAGTGCCCTCTCCTAGAGCGGGGAGGGGGAGAGAACTGCTTAAACTACTGTGTGTTAAGATTGGAATAAAACAGTATTATTTTGGTTTTCTGTGCTGAGTGCTTCTAGGGGAGGGTGGGAGGCCCGGATCCAGAGGAAAACAAGATGGCCAGGTATCCCTTTGTGTTTTCTTTTAGCAAGGCCCTGGGGCCAGATGGATGGAGGAGCTACAATTAATCTATCTCCAAGGCAACACAGACCTCATCCTCCCTCATTCAGTGTGCAACAGTGGCAACTTGCAGCCATCCATTGACCCTGACCTCAACTAGCACATGCCCTTCTTCCCTTCAGTGACTAGTTTGAGAATGTGACTGGGACCCAGTCCTGGCCATGAGTCTTCTCAGGTTGGGTGGAGCTTCTAATAAAGATTCTCTCACTCTTAGGATGTTCCTGAATAAGAAGTTCAAGTCTAGGCCTGTTTACAACCCCCTTGGACCAACGAGATGAGAGATAAAGAAAATGTGGATCTTTGCTTGGCTTGGTGGAACTCTTTGGATTTGCTCTACCATGGGTCTTCTGAAATGAGATAACTACGTGATTTAAGGAAGCTCAAGTTGAAGTTTTTGTGGTCACAGTTGCTAAGGGTACTTAGGTCTATAGTGGGCTACACAATTCAGGTTGAGGTGCTCAGCATTTCTCAAATTTTAACAGACATAAAAGGGCACCTTGTTGAGGTACAGAGTTGGATAGAGTAGGTCTGCAAGGGGCATGAATTTCTAGCAAATTCTCTGATGATGCGTTCCCAATGGATTGTGGGGCACACTTGGAATAGCAATAAAAGAGTTTTAAGGTAAAATAAAATTCAGTGTTTGAAGTCATAGATGTAAAAGGCATTAACTGCAGCCTGAATGCAGGGACCCAACAATGCCAAGTTTCTCCTCTCATTATTCTGTTCTTTGTATGATAGATTCCTTCCAGAAAAAGGCCTCTATTGGCTGAGAAAAATAGCTACTACTCAAAGCCCTTGTTTCAGATGCTCATGCTTTGATCCCAAAAGAGCTACCAGTATCCATATACATATAGCAAACCTCAAGGAAGAAACTGATAGGGCTTACTAAGCATATCCGGTAGCCATGGCAACAATAATGCTGTGTTAGCATAAGCATTTCTTGCCTATGTGTCTTGAGTCATGTGGGGGAAGGCTGAGCCCTTGCTTTTCAAAATTTGGTCCACAGAACACCATCACTAACACTCCCTGGGAGCTTGTTAGGAATACAGAGCAGGAAGAGGTTTATGGTCAGTAAAGCAGGCAAGGGAAGGTGGTTCTTCTTACAGCTGGACCTCAAAGGGCACTTTTGTCAGAAAAAGAGGATGAAGAAGTGGATTCTTTGCAAAGGGAACACCATGTGTAACAGGATTTTGCACTTGGTGAAGGCAAGAAGAAAACTCAATGTTAATAACTTGTATAAACCCTACATGCTCAGCTCACAAGTGAAGTCCTTCAGTCCTGTGCTGAATTGTCACTTCATCCTAACGTCCATTCTGAGTAGTTCCTCTACAGTCATTTCACCTCCTTTCTCTGCTTTATACTTCACAACACTTACTACTACCAGGAGTTATACCACATGATTATCCACCAGTTTAGGGCTTTGTGTGGACACATACGTTAGTGTGTGCTCCATTTCTGTGTGCCTCCCCAAATTCCAAAAATCTAATGTTTTCTCCAGAGACCTGCATTTTTAGTTAACAGTCAGTGCACCCCCTTCCACCTACACCACTATCACCACTATCACCAAAATAAAACCCCTTTTCATTCTCCATTGTATCTACAGTACCTGGTACAAAGTAAGCCCTGAGTTAGGAAGATTGAAGAAAGAAAAATGGCAGACTGGCTAAGAGGGTTAGGTCGTCATCATTGCTGTAGTGGCAATAGACCTACTCCAAGATTCCAGCTTCAGTAGCCTTGTTCCCGCCCCCATCTGACTCACACATTGGCCATTTGTGTAACAAGATGTAGCAATCAAGAAACTACAACCTCCAGCAAGCTCAGTGCTTGGACTCAGCCAGGACTTCTAGACTCAAGATCCTTTGCTGAGCTGAGCTACCCTGCACAGTGCTCAAGCCACTCACTTAGCAACAGCACCTGTGCAGTAGAAGCCTCTGTCCTGGGGATCCATCAGAGCACGTGCCGACTTCAGGGTATTCAGTCAGGTTGGGGAAGATTTGAGGAGCATCTAGTTGCTGAGCATTGCAGAGGGCCTCTTTGGTTCTCCAGTTCACAGGGGCCGGACACAGGTCTGTCTCCAAATGAGGGAAGTGGTGTTGGGGATGAGGGAGGAAGGGGATCCTGACTGGATGGTGTTGCCATAGTAACACTGAAAGCTAAAGGGAGAGAGAGGAGAGGATTAAGGCTGTCTTGGGAGGAATTAGAGTGGCAACCAGGGATCTGGAGTGTTTGTGGAGTATTGGAGTGTGATGGTGGAATCAGCTTGATATAAGGGGAGTTGGGCTGATCTTAGGTGAATTAGGGTGTTTTGAGGGAGTGAGAATGTTTTGGTATGTGATAAAGGGATTTGAGGTCACTGAGAAATTGGTATATAAATAGGTAATGGGGATGCTTCAGGGGAAGTGGAAATTTAATAGGAAAAATTGGGGCACTAAACTCATCATTCCATAGTTATATAAATAGATTCCACTATGTGCAGGTGCCACTAGATGTTGAGAAGACATTGGCAAGTTGTGAAGACACGACTATGACAGAACTGGGGTTTTGTGGAGAACTCCGGGTGGTGTAAGACTAGGGGGATCTTGTCCCTAGTGGGAGAAACTAGGGACCAGTGTGGGTAGATGAACAAGGGCACTTTGAGAAACAGAAACCCAATGGGGGAATATAGGTACCATAAAAATATATTCAATAGGTACACATTTATACCTCTTGAACAATTTAGGGTGGTTAAATGCATATGACCTCATTCTAATTCCTGTTCTGTTACTTACTGTGTGACCTTGATCAAGTGGTTGACACTCTCTCTACCTCAGTCTTGCCTGATCTGGCCTCAAGCCATCATCTTCCTATCACCAACTGCCTCCTAAATAGCTCAGATTACAGACATACGCCACTACACCTGGTTGAATCTCAATACTCTTGGGATGCCAAATATATGATTTCAGAGTTTGGAAAGCAGTTTCCTTCCTCTCTTTGTATTCTACCACACTTTTTATTTGACAGATGCTTGTGGAATCTGAGCACAATGCAGTGCTTTTAAAACAGTTCTGCAGGATGTGGTTGGATTATGGCAGAGTGCTTTGTTGAGAGATTTGTAATTAAACCAGATCCAAATCCTGTTTCCATGGGTGAGCTCTTTCAGAGACTGGCTGAGGAAGCCCCTGCATGGTAAAACTGAGATAATAACAGTAGCCATCTCATAAATTCATTTGAGAATTAACTGCAGTAACACATACAATGTGAAACACTGTCATCATAAAATTATTGCTGAGTTAAAAGCAAGAAGCTGTACACAAAACCCTGCTTCTTAGCCTCATCTTGTTCTGAGTTTGCCTCACTGCACTGGGAAGAACACTTCAGTCACTAATAATTCACTCTGCATGAGCAGTTCATTTCAGACTATCTGGTTAACACTAGGTCTGTGTTTTTTGGGACAACAATTTGCAGGAGATGTGTAGCAGCAGCGATCTGTGTAGGTGGTGCAAATGTATTTCTTCCCAGTTCCCTACTTGGCCTTCTTCATCTAAGTTCTAAGAACCGTTATGCCAATTAGTCTTAACTACACTGTTGTCAGTTGTTTTACCTATGTGACTACCTCAAACATTCCAGGAGGTTGGCATGGTATCCACTCTCCAGCTGGAGAAACTAAACTGCAGTGGTGCAGAGGCTCACATAAGAATGTGGAACAGGGAATAAAGTCCTCCCTCTGCCCCTGCATTACTAATGACTCTCATTTTAGCAGAAAAACTCACAGAAGATTGGCTTCCAGTTTATCACCCACTTCCTCAGGCTCTTTCACTCTGAGTCTCAGTTTTTTCATATGGATATGGTAATAACAATAAACAACCAAGATTGTTTTGAGGATTGAAAATAATGTGTTTACACTGGCTAGTATTATGCACATGCATTCAGGTAGTCAGAAGCACTGCTGCCCTGAGCCCTCAATGGATGGAGAATCCCGAGAGCCAGAAATATACCCCACACTAGGTGGAGTGGGGAGGAAGCAAACGGTGAAGGCATCAATAGTGAGACACTACTTGAAAAATAACTAAATCAAAAAGGGATGGGCGACATAGCTCAAGTGGTTGGAATGCCTGCTTAGAAAGTGCAAGACCCTGAGTTCAAACCCCCATAAAGAAAAAAGAGGAGGTGGCCACTGATGCCACATGCTGCAGAGAAGCAGCAATGACAACAAGACACAGACATAGTTTTCAATGCAGTGCTCATAAAGAGAATGTTCTCAGGAAAGTAGGAGGTTTGATAGTGGAAGCAAAGGGTGGAAGAGAAGAAATCAGAAACTTGAGGGTGGAGAGAGATGAAAGAAAGGTTCATCTATTTTTGGGTTAGAGGTTGTAATTTGTAGATGAAACAACTAAGAGTCAAGGGTGAAAGACTACAAGGGATAGGATATG